GATGCTCATACTGCTCATGGAGATGATAGTGAATCTGATGCTCATACTGCTTATGGAGATGATACTCATACTGCTCATGGAGATGATCATACTGCTCATGTAGAGGATAGTGTATCTGATGTAAGTGAAGAAGAGGAACCTGTTGTTAATGGTTCTCATGAAACTGATGGCTCTAGTACTCATGGTAATAATGCTCTCCCTCGCTATCCTACTCGTCATCGAACGGCTCCTAATAGGGGTCCATTCATTTATTACTGAAGGCGGGACGCCTTTCTTTTGGAGGGGAGTTGATGTAATAACTATTATTGAACTTAGTAATTATTATGTATTATGTTTTGGGGTGTGTGACAGGGTGTGGTGGACTAGAGTATGGTTCTAACTATTGTGACTTGTGGTGTGTGTGTTCCATAATCTTTATCATTATCAATCGGATTACAAACGGTCCTTTTAATATTATTATTGGTACAGAGAACCAGTATTACACTTCTAATGCTTCAAATGAGACACTATTGAGTTATATTAATATGTTATTACAGGAGTGATTGGGTCCATTATTATGAGAACACTACTAGAGATTTACGTGTCTATTCTGCCTATCCATTGCTAGTCTATCCAACTCATTTTGCTGGTGATAAAGGATGGTACAGTGACACAGGTTAGGACAATACATTACTAGTATATACTATGGTATAACCACAATAGTGGATATGATATCGATTTTATTTTCAGAGCCACTGATTGAGGTACTGCAGGAGATTCGTAAAAGAAAGTTAAAAGAAGAAGAAGAGGTAGCAGCAAAAGAGGAAAGAGAGAAAGAAAATGAAAAGACAGAACTGTAACGAACTACTATTATTAGGTGAAATGTACATACATGTATTGAAATGGCATATTTATTATTATTAGTTTCATGATTAACAAGACATCATTTAAAATAGCAGTTCATGTAGATTATAATGTTCTCATAAGAGTACAGCTAGATCTAGTCTAGTATGTGAGGGCTCCACTTGCATCTGGTAATGTGAGACTAAGCACACGATCGACTGCTCATGAAACTGCTACCTTGTCTTGTCACATAGACAAGGCAAAAGATAAGCAAATAGCAACCCTGTCTGTACATGTCCATTGAGATCGTGGTGTACCCCAGCCTAATCAAGCAAAGCAAAGTACAAATCTAGATACATTAGTTCTTGATGTACTAATGTATAGTTGTGTCTTTAGTGTCTAACTAGTAATTATAGCATGTTCACTGTGTTACTAGACCATAGGCGGCTGCAGGGTCGGGCATTTAGGGGCAATGCCCGACCAAAAATTCTGACCGGAAGTGTGACATCACCATAATTAATAGTTATTCTATGGTTAATTAATAGTTAATAACAGTTATTGCAATTATAATTTCAATTTTTTATGAAAATCTTATAATTATGAATGCATAAATGGCAGGCTGATAACAAGGTGAAGAAGAGAGACTAAATAAAGGAGGAGCTCGTGGTGGTAAGACTTTAGTGCCAATCACAGTGGGCCACCACAGCAACACTAGAAAGCATAATCATTTCATTATTTAGTGCTATTTCAGTGTTCTTTTCTTGTCAGTTGCAATGTCTAAAAGCCTGGACTAGGCTTCGCTACTGAAGTCCTTTGTGAACAAGCCTGCTAAAAAGGAACAACAGTTTACAACTGAAGTGAACCTAGTAAGTACAGTATAGAAGTCAATAATACAGATTATCTCATATTCTTACTTTAGGTCAGTTTCTTGCTGAGAGTTGATGATCATGAGTCTCAGTCTACTCTTGTGGTTGATACAGCTACAGTTTTTACAGCTACAGTTGATGTACAGTCAATTGTTGCTCATTCTCCATCACCCTATTCTTCTACTTCCTCTACTAATACTACTACTAGTACTATTACCACTACAGAAGTCAGTGTTGGAGCTACACCACCCACTACTTTATTACAATAACCTTCGCTACCAAAAAATTGTGCTAAAAAGGGTGCATAAAAAAGGGTGTGGCCAAAATCGCAGCGCGCTTCGCGCGCCCAACCCATTTCCTGTGCCACACCCATGCCCGACTAGTAGTCAAATCCTGCAGCCGCCTATGTACTAGACAAAGATCATATTGACTTTACTCCCAAATAATATCGCAGCATGCAATACAAACTTCAATTATAAATAGTTGTGTGTTCTGTGATGCCCCTACATGTCTATCTGTATATGACTGCAGTGGAGTGCATCAATTCAGTTCTGTACATATTGTACGCATCTCTAATGATCTGTATTGATGCATTCTTTAATACGTTGTGTTGATGTCATTCTGGATGCTGTCATTCAAGTATCTGTATTGATCAAGGGGTCCAACACGCCCCGAAATCCAGTACACTCTCTTTGGAATCTATAAACAGAATCCAGTGGAATCCAAGATTTTAAGGATTTTAGGAGGATCCAGAGTTATAGAGGCATTTTTGTAGTATCTATTTTGGAATCCAGCAACTGAATTTAGGAATCTAGACATCTCGTACAAAATTTGAACTGTGTTGGACCCCTTGGTATTGATTATAAGATATAAATATGGTTTACCTAGTTATAATGAATTAAAATTATCAACTTTGATTAATTTTTATCAGCAATCTAGTTTTATTATAGTCGTACTATAAAAGTTTTATAGTACGACTATAAGCTTATTTATTGTGATGAAAAAGAATACAGAATGTCTATATAAAGCTAATCTAATAAATTCACTATGCAATCAATGTAATAATTGATAGTATTTACCATATATGGATTTACTTAAAATAACAGAGAATTGACTGAGTGAAAAGCCCTGGATCATGGATGACAGGAAGTAACCTGAAAAGCTGATGTTTGTCAGTCATTTGCCTTATTTCTGAACATTAAGTGGACTAAATCAACTCAGATATGGTATAGTTATATAAAATTGCCTAAATTATTAATTTGATTGTTACTTTTGATTTACAGGAAAAGGTAGCTAAATTTAACACTAAAAATAATGTTGAGTATATAGTTGTTTATTTTTATTATTGTACAATGATACTGAAAATTAACACAAAGTCTTTTTTACAACACAATAGGAAGTAAGTGCTACACCTAATTTCACTGAGATGATTGTTTACATGTGTATCAATATTATTGTCTATTCTATTCTTAATTTTTTTGTTCATCTGTGATACTCAAATTCTTCTTTACAACACAATAGGAAGTAAGTACTAATGTATTTTAATTTGAGATGAGTGCTTA